CTAATAGGTTTATACATATATCACAAGCGTTAGTTCAGTTCTTTTCTTAAATCTAATAGTTTATACATATATACAGATATCACAAACGTTAGTTCACTTCTTTAGTTCAGTTATATTCTTAAATCTAATAGTCTTAAATCCAATAATCTTTAAATAAAAAAAATTAAAAAATCAGCAGTTCAGTGCAAAATTAAATGAAATTCAAAAATAAAGAAATCTTAAAAAAAAATGTATCCATTAGTTCATTTTTGCTGGCTTCTTTCTTGTATCCGCAGTAATTTTTCCTGCAAATCAAGCTCCCTTCTTTTAAGGGCCTCCATTTCAATATTGTGCCTCTTTAATTCACGCAATTTTTCCTTCTTCATGTCATGCATGTTTTCTTGTACTTGGTACATGCGTCGCACGTTATCTGCCAGATCGTTTGCAGACTCAGCCTGGCGTTCCAAAAAGGCCAAACTTTTTTGGTAGTAGCTTCGTTGCAAATTTATTTGCTCCTGTACCAAAGTGGCCGTGTCGTTTTTTTTACCGGAGGGGAACGCCTCTGCACATTGGCATTGTCTGGCTCAGTTGGCATAGGAATGACTGCCGCAGGTTCCACCACCGGTTGGGTCACCGTCTGTGTTGTTACCACACCAAAAGAGACAGCTCCATTGATCCCCGATGTGGAAGTGTGCAAGCCCGTCAACTCTATCACTTTTTCCTCCAACTCATTGAACTTGTGCATTCTGTTGGGTCCACCACCAGTTGCCCTCGTCTCTGCTTTATTGGCGGAAAGCTTTCTTTTAATGTAGCACTTATAATCGAGCCATACCTAGAAATAGTATTGATATAAGGAAAACAATGATAAATAAATTTTGTGCTCTTAAAATTTTATCCGCACCTTTTTCCAGCTGGATACATCTTTTGTCGGTGGGCCTAAGCTGTTTAGCTGCTGAGCGACGCTTTCCCAAAACTCCACTACATCCTCTTTAGGAAGGCCGCGAGCAATGTCCGGCCTTTCGGTCATGCATTCTACCATTTTTTCGTATTGCGACCGATTTGTTGTGATCTTCGACCTGATAATTTTGTAAATATTTAACAATAATCCATTTTTTTCCAATCACACTTGTAACTTACATATTTTTTCCTTTACACACTTTATTTTATTGATATTTTAAAAGAATTCGCTTCGCTCCGACACCAGTTGCTCTTCGTAGAAAATTTCCGACAAATACATACAAATTACAGCTACGTCGGATTCAGGCATACCAACATTACGAGTTTCGAAGATGGTCTCCGAATTTCGAAATTACGATACGGCAACGCGGATTACAGCATACCAATTTTAAGATTCGTAGCAAAATCGAATCTACGACGGATTACAGCATAGGGGTGTAACTGTTCTTTTGATAATATTGCTATTTAAAAAAACTATATACTTTAAAGCTTATATGTACTTTGAAAACTCTCTTAATACCTAAACTAAATGCTTCATGTAAAAACTCAATAAAACTTCTACTGAGCAAAATTCCGAATGAATATAATAAAATTACTCAATAAAACTCCAACTGAGCAACATTTCTACTGAATAAAAAAACTCAATAAAGCTAGAGTGATTTTTTCCTTCATCCACTTCTGGTAGGGCTCTGGCTACTTCAATCCTCTCCTGTGCACTTGTGCTCACTCTAGAGCAGATGGTCAGCGTCTTACGTTGATCCTGGCTTAGACACCAAAATCCGATTTTGCTGCTGGTGGCCTATGGAAGTGGGTATCTCTCATCAACGTATCTGCGACTTTCCGTCCAGTAGTAGTGGTATATGAGCGATGCTTCTAGTCCCAAAATTTGGTGGGTGGGTGACACAGATGCTCCTGTGCAGACAGATGTTGCTGTCAATTTTATAGCAGCGACGTCTTTGTTTCTTCCTCCGTGGGGGTCACAAAAACTCCTCCATGTATTGGCTCGACTGCAGGAAAAGGTAGGTGGAGGTCCTTTTGCAATTCCTCGGCGGGCGACCTAAAAAAAAAAACAAAACATACACATTTTAATAGTTATGCGGATTTTGGCGGTGTCGTGCTTGTGTACACGCACATATATTCACTCAAATCTTCTGTGCGTGCACGTACATAAGCATTTAGGTATGTCAAATTATTTCTTATGGCGGCACTAGTAACACAAAACACTTGATTTCTTCACCTTTAATATGAATCTTTAGAACTTACCTCCTATTCCAGTTAGCCAAATTCGACGATAACAACAAATTTACTTCACCGGATGGTAGGCGATATATGTATGTACGGGACCGCTAGATGTACGCGTTATGGACCGTTTTATTTTATATTATTTTTTTTTTAAAAACTTTTTTTTTCAAAGAACTGCACTTTCACTTGGCACCTTCAAATAACATGTCACCACTATAATGAATCCGTTGGCCATCTTTAAGGCCTTTTATACGGGTGTCTAGGTCAACAAATTTCACTCAGGCGAACCGCAATTCGGCTCAACGGTCCCACGACCAGATACCGCTTTCACACTCACACACTCACGCCGCTTCACCGATGCATTTGCTGCTTATGATTTACTTCATATCGCTGTTGCTTCCTTTATAGTTTTCAATTAGAATATTCACTCTTTCCATCAGATATTATTAAAAAATATTTGGCAAATCGAGTCGATTTTAAAGATTCGAATTTCAGAACATGCCTGTATATAAGTACTAGCAGACCCGGCGAACTTCGTTCCGCCCAAAATTTTTATATATTTTATTGAAACTTTTTGGTCCNAATTAAAAAATATTTGGCAAATCGAGTCGATTTTAAAGATTCGAATTTCAGAACATGCCTGTATATAAGTACTAGCAGACCCGGCGAACTTCGTTCCGCCCAAAATTTTTATATATTT